TTCTGGGAGTTGAAGTCCACTCATCTTAAAGTGGCCAAGTTTGGACAACACTGCTATAAATGAATCAAACGCATCATTTGGACCGAGAAAAAGCTACTCAGTGACGGATCTTCGCTGCTAGCTTTTTTTTCAGTGCTCAAGCGATTTTCTCCATTACTCCTGAAACCCCAAATTCCTTTCCCCAAATTTCGCCACAAAGAAACCGAATATGAGGAAATGAAATTGTGCTGTTTCAGTCTCGCCTCAAGTCACGCCAGGTGAAACAGTTCCAGTTGCCGCTGTCCGGCTCTGAGCAGCGTTGGCTCATGTGAGGCTTTTTCATCTGAGCACTTCGCCTGGTTTGCAGGCACCGTTGGCTCAACATAGGACTTTTTGAAACAGTATATACGAAAGTATATATGCATTTTTGTATGTATTGTTAATAAATGAACACTTTTGGCACATTTTTTGAATATTGAGTCTGCAAAATGCAGACTTTTGAAAAGGGTGGTCATTAATATATAGCTTTGATATAGTTTGTGCAGAATTTGTAAAGTGCAAGCTGGATGCGTCTAGATTAAATTGTGAAGTGAATGAATTTTGCTGCATCTCAAAACATGGGTTGGTTTGGGCCCAAAGATGGGCACGGTCTTTCCCCAGCACAGCCTCCTTCATACAGCTGACACCATCTAGGAGAGGAACAATGAATGCTTTACTACTCCTATTTTCTGCAAAATAAAAACACTGAAATATCAGATTAATAAGAAAAACTGGTGACAAAAACAAAGTAACTGATGAAACAAGAATAAAGAACTGGGAGTGCAGGTTTGCATCTATTAATAAATATTTATTGATTTGTTTATCTCATATGCTTATAATCAGACTGACTAAGGTGGTTTACAAGAATAATCAAAATAAAAAAGGCAACAGTGCTAAGAACCTCTCCGCCGTGGGGCCGGCCTTGTGGAATCTTCTCCTCCCAGAAGTGAGATTAGCTCCATCCCTCTTAATGTTCTGCAAGTCCCTCAAGACCTGGCTATGTGAGCGGGCCTGGGGCTCCCGGGGGGCCGGGGAGGTTTTGCGATGGCCCCCTTATTCATTTTATCTCCCCCCCCGTTTTGTGTGCTTTTATAGTTTTTTATTTGTAATTGTTTTTATGTATTTATTCTTTTTAATTGTTGTATGCCTCCCAGAGTCACTTGTGTGAGATGGGCGGCTATATAAATACGATCGATCGATAGATAGACCGACCGACCGACTGACCGACCTGAATCACTCTTCAGTCTCCATAAACTCCATAATGCATCATGTAAAAATTCAAAAGCAACACAAAAATGCCCCCAGAGGCAGTCCAACATCGCCACTAGGGCCCAAATGCTTCTCAAAAGAGATACAGATAGTCCTCATTTAGCAACCACAATTGTGACCGGCAACTCTGTTGCTAAGCAAAGCAGTTGCTAAGTGGGAAATCGTGTGACTGCAGCTGTGTCTGACCCATTCCCACTCCCCCGCCCTTTGGAATGCTCCCCTTGTGCTGGTATAATCAGTAAGAAGGGAATTAATGTTGTATTTACATTCGTCCATTGTGTGCCTCCTTACTCTCTTGTCATCCCTTCCTCTCCAGTCTCTCCACTCTACAAGGCATGGGGTGGGAATGGGTCAGACACAGGACAGATTGCCTAAAGAAATTGCTTGATTATTTTTCTCCCCCCTCCCCCCACTCACAGAGCAGAGAGATTGGATTGGGATCTTCCCACTGATCAATATTCCACGTGGTGGTGGTCTGAAGAGATGGCTAGGGTTATGTCTTGTGATGTTACTTGGGGTTCATTCTGGCTTGTGAATTCTGATGAAGTGGATAGGATATGGTGCGGCATGCGTTCTGCCACTTTCAGCTCCTGTGCATAGCAGTGAACAGTTCTCTGTGGTAAGGATGGTGCTGACCACCTTGAAGGAGGAGGTGATCCACCCTTTATTGATGGGGCTTTTCCTAGATCCAGCTATTTTTGACAATTGCTGCTAGATCTCCAGCCTTCCGTTTTTAGGGAAAGTTGTCAACAAAGTAGCACAGATACACCTGCGGACTGCCCCAGATGAAGCAGATTCTATAGGTTCCTTTCAGACGTGGAATGCGAATCAGAAACTGGTCGCTGTGGTGGACGACCTTTGCTCAGATGTAGAGGAGGGGACTCCTTTTCAATTTTTTAGGCCTCTCAGTGGCCTTCAGCACCACTGATGGTGGTGCTGATTAAGACAGAGTGGTTCTGCAGAGCTTTTAATCTGTAATGACTGTCATTGGGGTTGCAGAGACACTGCCATGAGTTGACGGTTTTCTTAGCTTGTACCAGTTTTATATATTTGCCTTAGGGTGTTTTGATTTTGGTATTGTAGATTGCAGGAGTCCCTTTGGTGATATCAAAAACCATAAATAAATACTTTTGAAATGTTCATAGTCATAAATGAGATCTTTATGAAGGAATTATTGAACTTGAAGCTGGTACTTTTCAGCATATTCAATAGTTCTATTTAAGGATATAATTCTGTAAAATCCTCTAGTCATTCCTTGTATTTAATTATTCTGCTTTGAAATAGAAAGATGAGGAATGGGAGAAGTGGAAGAGCATCAGGAGCCCATTTTTCTTGACACATCTGGATATGAAATAGTAGTCAGTGAGGAATGCAGCTGTCATAAATGATTGCGAATCCAATAATAATTAATTTGTACCAATTAAATACTATTTGTTTTTCCAATGATACAATTTTATTTTTTTAATTAATTTTTATTAAAGAAGGGAAAGAAAAGTAGAAAAAAGTGATGAGTAAATAAGAAAGAAATAAAAGAGAAAAGACAGAAAAGAAAAAGAAAAGAAAAAAAGACATGAAGTAGCAGCTTCCAATCTTCTTTACAGCAGTTATCAATGCATTTGTATTTTATCCTCTCCCTCTAAAGTTAAGTCGTGGCTCCCTTCTTTCCATATTCTACCCTTTCTAATCTTCAGACCCATAAGTCACAAGTTCATTTTTTTCTGTTTTCAGCAAAAAGTCCATAAAGGGTTTCCAGTCATTAAGAAATGTCGTTGTTGTCTTTTCCCTGATCAAGCAAGTCAATTTGGCCCTCTCTGCAAATTCTGTCATCTTTACCAACCATTCCTCCATTGTGGGTATTTCAGAGTCTTTCCATCTTTGTGCATATAGAATAACCGTGCTGCAGTATCCATGTACAAAACCCATCATCCATAGGTCTTTTCTAGTTGTCTATCCACTAGTTCCAACAAAAATGTTCTGCTTTCAGTTGAATATTAATCTTTAAAATTCTTTGTATTTGTGTGTATTTGAACCTAAAGTTTTCTAGATTTTTTACAAGTCCACCAAGCATGATTAAATGACCCTTCACGTTTTCCACATTTCCAACATAGATTTGAAGTACCTTTATACATTCTAGAAAGTTTTCTGATTTCATATACCAACAGTACATCATTTTATTCAAACTCTCTTTTAAATCATAACATGTCAATTTTAGTCCTTTCAGCCATATTTATTTATTTATTTATTTATTTATTTATTTATTTATTTATTTAATTTGTCCCCGCCCA